CATATATGGAAAATATGCATTTGGATAGAATTGATATAAGTTTGCCTTTATTATTTATTGTACTACCAACAAAAAATATTCCTACAGGAGTATTTTGGCAAGAAGGTCCATTATTATGGATACATTTATCTTATTCTCCTAACACTATTCTTACTAGGTATCCTGAGGCTGTAGGACAATTAATACTCAAAGGAATAAAAGCAGCAAAGGGAGTGTTTGGAATTTCTCCCAATAAAATTATTACTCAATATACTACGAATCAAATTGATGAGTTAGCTAATGAGTTAAATACTTGGGCAATAATCGTGCAAATCTAATGTTTCATTTGATAACCACTTACCATCTAATCCTTTATTGTCTTTTTGGTCATTGCATCCCGTAATTTTTCCAAAAATGACAAGAAAAACACCTATCATGAATGCTCCAAATATATTCACTGATGGGTCAAATAATGGTACAGCAGCAATAGTTACACCTGATCAAACTTTTACATTTTTAGTACCCAAACAATCAGCTCAAAAGGTAGAGCTTAATGCAGTATTACAAGCTTTTGTGATGTTTAAAGATTCTGTATTTAATTTATTTTCCGATAGTCAGTATATAGTTAATGCTATAGTATCCCTTGAAGATGCTGGTAGGATTTCCCCTTCCTCTACTGTTTTCTCTTTGCTTGCCACTATACAAAGTCTAATCTGGGACAGAAAAGATCCATTCTTTATAGGACATATCAGGGCACATACAGGATTGCCTGGAGCCCTTAGTTTGGGCAATGATTTAGCAGATAAAACTACACATGACATACATCTTTTCTCTATACTAGAAGAAGCTATAAATTTTCATAAAAGGTTCCATGTCAATGCTAATACTTTACAAAAGCGTTTTAAAATAACTAAGGAACAAGCTAGACAAATAATAAAACAATGTCAAAATTGTGTGACCTTTTTACCACAAGTTAATCTTGGAGTCAATCCTAGAGGATTGATACCTAACCATATTTGGCAGATGGACGTCACACACTTGCCAGAATTTGGAAAATTAAAATATTTGCATGTTACAGTTGATACTTCCTCTGGATTTTTGATGGGCTCCCTTCATACCGGAGAAAAAACTAAAGATGTTATAGCTCATTGCTTACAAAATTTTGCCACTGTGGGTGTTCCAAAACAGTTAAAAACAGATAATGCCCCTGGTTATACTTCTACCTCTTTTAAACAATTTTGCTCATCATTTGGCATTATTCATATAACAGGAATCCCATACAATCCACAGGGACAAGGCATAGTTGAAAGAGCTCATCAAACTATTAAAATGTACTTATTAAAGCAAAAAGACGGAATTGGGAAGGGGTATATATTCCCCAAAGATAAACTTAAAATAACCCTTTTTACTCTAAACTTTTTAAATTTGGATTCATCAGGACTTAGTGCTGCGGAAAGGCATATGTGTCCAAAAAATGTGCATAAGCCCAAGGTACTTTGGAAGGATATTCTAACAGGACAATGGAAAGGTCCTGACCCAGTGATTGTCTGGAGTCGGGGGTCTGTTTGTGTGTTTCCACAGGGAGAACAGCAGCCGATTTGGATTCCAGAGAGATTAACCAAGGTCCTGACCCAGTGATTGTCTGGAGTCGGGGGCCTGTTTGTGTGTTTCCACAGGGAGAACAGCAGCAGATTTGGATTCCAGAGAGATTAACTAAAGCGATTTCTACAGACCAAAAAGAAGATGATTTGACTCAAGTCCATAACAGCTGATATCCAAAACTCCAGTTTGGCTATCCTTACATCTGCAATAGAACCAGGATGCTTTTTTCAATATCAATTTTATTATTGCCCTTTCCCACATTCTGTTTCGTTTTTTGAGCTCATACAGACCTAGGTTAATGTTTTGCTGATCAGTTCTATTTTTTGACTATAGAGTTTTTAAACATTGCTATGGAGATTTCACCTGTAAAAAGTTATAAGGCCTTTACTATTATGTTATGTGTTGTATGTATTATATTATGTGTGCACACTTGTGTTTTGTGTTATATGTTTGAATGTACGTATGTCCATATATCATATATGATGAGCGCTCATGAAAAAATGGATCCAATTTTTTTTTATATTCACGTGATTTAAATGGTTTAATTTAAATTGGGTAGACAACTGTTGAGGATTGTTTTAATATGTGAACAAAAAAGGAGGTTAACAGATCTGTTTGTTTACTTTTACCTTTCCTTTTCATTATATTTAATAATTCTCTTAAAGATAATGTAAATTGTTAAGAAAATTGTTTTCTTTTAGTGCCTTCTGTAATGTTACATAATTTTTTCTTTAGCCATTATTGCCAGAATTCCTATCTTCATCCCAGTGCCGGTGAAGACAATGTAAATTGTTAAGAAAATTGTTTTCTTTTAGTGCCTTCTGGAATGTTACATAATTTTTTCTTTAGCCATTATTGCCAGAATTCCTATCTTCATCCCAGTGCTGGTGAAATCAAAGATAAAACCAATCTACAGCTTCTGCAATAGCCATCACTGAACTGCTTGTAGAACTTGCCTGGACACATTGTGAACTCACCTGTATGCATTGTGAACTATCTGTTGGTGCAGCGACTTGTGGTAGTGTTGGGGTATTTTTGCTGATGATGTCATCGGTGGTACAATTTTTCCAAAAGGAGCCGTCAATTGGCTTGGTGTATCTTCCTCCCTTCTGCTTGTCATGATTGTCCAGCTAAAATTTGGGGGCCAACAGAGGTGAGGCAAAGAACCTCACCCCCCCCCGCGCTGGTACAAAGACCTCTCCACAGGTGTGGCTGTACTGGACCGGTAGTCAGTGACGGGTAAGATCCAATTGCAATGGTACCAACCTAACGGGTAAGGACCATATGTACTATTGGACAACCTAAGGCAGGCACGGTCCCTAAGCCACATACTTTTTGTTTAAACAGAGAGGGGGAGATGTTGAGAGCCATAGCCGAAGGGGCCACAGCCGAAGGGGCCCCAGCAAACTTCCAGCTGCCAGCAAACTTCCAGCTGCCGGCTGATGATTGGCTCACAGCGGCCCCAGCAACATCTAGCTGATTGGCTCCTCTGCGGTGATGCTCATTGGGCTGTTTCCCTGCCCTTTCAGACCACGGAGCTGCTCATTGGGGGACTTTTTTGGCTCCGCCCAAGTGACCCAGCCAATCGGCCTCAAGAGCAGGAGGATTGTGGGAGGTGGAGAGAGAGGCTTGTGTTGGAGAGAGAGGCTTGTGGAAAGCTGGTGGTGGCAGTTGGGGCTCTGAGGGTTTTTCCTGAGAGGCTGTTTTGTTTGGCGTGTGTGGTTCTAAAAATAAAGTTAGTTTCTTTTGACAAGTGGCTCCTGATTGTGCCCAGCCAGACTGCGGCAGGCCTGATCTCTGACCTTCCTAGAAAGTTTCTATAGCTCAAGGGCTAGAAAAGAATGTTTCCCTGATGATCTGTCCTTTCCTCTTAGCAAGCAAATGAATTTACTTTCTGCTTCACCCTGATTGCCAGGAAGCTCAGAGCAAAGCTTTGTGGTCTATTTGCAGGTCCCCTACCCTGGTGATTTGTCTCTTTTATTCTTTTTTGTTTGTTTTATTCTCTTTGTGCTATTTATTTGTAAACCATAGATCATGTCTTTTTTTTTTTTTTTCTTTTAAGACATGCCTCAGTAACCACAGAAGATTGGTTCTAGGACCTTCTAAGGATACAAATCTGTGGATGCTCAAGTCCTTCATAAAAAATGGCAATGTGTTTGCATAAAACCTGCTCACATCCTCCAATATGCTTCAGATCATCTCCAGGTTACTTGCAATGTCTAATACAATGCAAATACTATTTATTTGTATGTATTACACTGAATTGTTTAGGGAATAATGACTTTTTAAAAGTTTCTATCTATTCAATACTGTTGCTTTTTTTTTGTACCAGAGATTGAACCCAGAGGCGTTAACCACTGAGCAACATCCCCCAGTCCTCTCTAAAATATTTTATTTAGAGACAGGGTCTTGTTAGGTTGCTGAGGGCCTGGCTAAGTTGCTGAAGCTGGCTTTGAACTCCTAATCCTCCTGACTCAGACTCTCAAACTGCTGAGGTTGCAATTTTTTTTAAGTTTTTTTGTTTGTTTCATGGTTGGTTGAATCTGCAGAGAAAGAAACTGCAGATACAAAGGGCTGACTCTAAGGGTACATTTTTTTTATTTCCAGTATGCTTTGCATGTGGAGGAATTGGGTGGAATCTTGGGGATGCCTAACGTAAACAGGAATAGATTCCCTCAATGGCACAGGATTTAGAGTTGAAGACCCAGACTACCCTATACGGAGAGAGGCTGCTGGGCCTTGGCTCTATCTCCCTTATCTTCCAGTGCTAGCTTCTTTACCAGGTAGGGAGCAAATAGGCCTGTTCCTGAGCCCAGGAGTGAAAATTGACTAGTGTAAAGCAAATTCCATTCAAAGAGCCCCTAAACTCACTGGGAGAGTTTGGGAGTTAGCCTAGGAAGAACAGGTTAACCCAGTTCATGCTTTTTTTGTTAATCAAAACTTGTTTCCACTCTTCCTGGAGAACATTCTTCAGCTGTGGATCCCTTGCTGAGCACTGGACCAGCTTTCCATGGGCCTCAGTGGCCACAGGCCCTATATGGATATATATATATACACACACACACACACACACACACACACACACACATATATTGTTGATACACCTTTATTTTATTCATTTATTTATATGCGGTACTGAGGATCAAACCCAGTGCCTCACCCATGCTAGGCAAGTGCTCTACCGCTGAACCACAACCCCAACCCCCCCTGGACCAGCATTTTTAATGGGTGGCTTAGTCTTAATTTTCTTATTTTCAAAACAAGGTAATAGGGCTAAAAGCTTTCCATGGGCCTCAGTGGCCACAGGCCCTTCAGGGCCCAAAGTAGAAGATTCTAACGCTGTCGAGGCTAACTGTCCAGGATGGGAGATCGAGGACCTGGGATTTGTCCACTTGGAATGAGAGACACCATTCTCTGAGTTCATGCCACCTTTCTTTATTTGAAACCAGTTGGAATCCCCCTCTGCATTGTGATCTAGTCCCCATAGGTGGCCCTGCAGCAGGGTACAGGATTCTTCCGTCAGAACTACAGCTCCACAGACCAGCAAGAAATCTCTTTTCCTGGGGGCCCCTCTTGGTAATCCAACTTGAGCTCTCTGGAATGGGTAGATGACAAACAGATGGACAGATGATCAGCAAACCTCAGGTGTGGTTAGAAACAGAGGGGGACAGTTGGGGATAGGAGCATGGAAGGTGTGCAATTCCAGAGTCCCTTTAGCAGTCTCTTGAGCACAAGTCAAGACCCAGTCACCCAAAATGTTACCCATGAGACCCAGTGTGTGTGGTCTCCAGGGTCTAGGGCTCTGAGAGTTGGAGGTGAGGGCATGGAGAGTCCTACTACCCTCAACCAATCTTCAGGCTGGTGAACTTTCTGTGGGTCTGACCTGACCATCCTTTGTGGGGTCAGCTGATCCAGACTCACCTACATTATCAACCTTTCAACTGTTTCTAGTTCCTAAATGAGGACAGAAGGAGTGGGGTTCTGCATAGCCCAACTCTCAGCTTCCTGGTCCCCCCAACCCTGGTCAGGCTGAGTGGCCTGCTTGTGCTGAGTTACCTGGTGGCAGAATAGTCCTTTCCCTGAACCTTCAGTAACCGTTTGTTGTCGTCTGCCCCTTCTGGTGTCTCCCACAACACGTCCTGGTAAAATTGGCCTGAAACGTAAAGGGCGGGTCAGTGAGGGATAATGACAGAGAGCCTGGGAAACACATGGCGGTGAGGACCACTGCCTGTTTGGGGGCAGAGGTGGTTTCTGAGGATGTCCTAAGACCAGGCTGTGGGTAGAGTACCTAGGGTCCCATTGACGTGGCTGGAGAAATGGTCAGTGTCCCGCAGAAGGAGCAGGAGACCCTTCCTAGGGTCATCCAAGGACAAGAGGCTGATGGTGACTTTGTCTGGACCACTGAGCATCAGAAGCCCTGTCTTGTTCATGGTCATCTTTAAGCTGTGGAGAAATCCAGAGTCCTGAGCAGGAAGAAGAAATACTTGCATGCAGCCTTAGCAAGCGGTAGGGAGTAGGCTGGAGCCCACTAGGAAATCAGTGTCGTGGTGGAGGTAGGAGTCTCTTAAATCTTTTGGGGTTCAGTTTCCTCATTAATAAAATATGATCAAATTTAGCTCAATGATATCCAGTTTCCTCGGCATTATTTATAAAATAATGAGTGCCTTCCTTTTGGATTGCTTAAATTTGTTTTTTCATGAATTTGTTTTATATGATTTAGGGGATTTCTCTCTCTCTCTCTCTCTCTCTCTCTCTCTCCCTCTCTCTCTTCTCTCTCTCTCTCTCTCTCTCTCTCTCTCCTCTCTCTCTCTCTTGTGGTACTGAGGATCAAACCAGGGTCATGTACATGTTAGGCAGGTGATCTACCTGTGAGCCACGACCCCAGATTCCAGTGGTTTTCTCTGATATACCTACTCTGTCCCCTCTGTTTATGGTTGGTACCTCTTTCTTTTGAAAATGAGTGCTTAATCATAATTGTGGTTTTTTTGTTTGTTTTTGTTTTAGTACCAGGGATTGAACTCAGTAGCACTTCCACTGAGCCACATCCCCAGCCCTTTTTTATATTGTATTTAGAGACAGAGTCTTGCTGAGTTGCTTAGGTCCTTACTAAGTTGCTGAGGCTGGCTTTGAACCTACAATTCCTCTGCCTCAGCCTCCTGAGCTGCTGGGATTATAGGCCTAAACTACCATACCAGTGTTATTGTGGGTTTTAACATCTAGAGGGTAAGTCTTTCCTCATTCTATCTCCTATTTTGCAGGGCGGGGGTGGGGTGGGGTGGGGGCAGCACTGGGGATTGAATCCAGGGCCTCACGTATACTGGGCTAGTACTCTACCACTGAGAGAACTTCTTTCATTTTATTTGAGACAGGGTCTCTTGTAAGTTGCCCAGGATGGCCTCAAACTCACGCTCCTCCGGCCTCAATCTTACCAGTAGCTAGAAAGCATGCATCACTTATCTTTCTTTTTACTTAAAATAATCTTTGCCATTTCTTGTCCTTTTGATTTCTTTATGAATGTTAGCTTCCCTGAAGCTTGTGGAATAAGATCCTGCTGTCACTCAGAGGTTAATTTAAATGGAAGTGCCCTAAATGCATACTGCCCTGTGGATTTGATTCAATCTAAAAGGTGTCTATTTTTTCTTCATGTGTATCTTCTGTAGCTCATGAAAGCATTTGGATTTTTGATCACTAGAATGAACAGGAATTCTTCATTTGGCTTTTTAGTGTGCATTTCCAAGACACAGAAATGCTCTCAATGTTTGTGTGGCCATCAGATAACAAGAAACTTTAAGGTCTTCTATGAAATCAGGAAGAATTTTGGAAAACCTCTTAGGTTTGTTGAGTGTGAGCTCATTGACAAGTGGAAACAAGGCCCTGCCAAAGGAATTGGAGAGGCAGCAGAGGCAACAATGGATAGGGTTTTCTTTTCTTTTCTTTCTTTCTTTTGCGGGGGTGGTTACTGGGGATTGAACCCAGGAGGGCTTAGCCACTGAGACACATCCCCAGCCCTTTTTAATATTTTATTTAGAGACAGGGTTTCATTGAGTTGCTTAGGGCCTCTCTAAACAGCCTCTCTGAGGCTGGCTTTGAATGTGAGATCCTCCTGCTTCAGCCTCCCAAGCCACCGAGGCAGGAGGGATTACAGGCGTGCGGTGCCTGGCTAATGGACAGGGTTTTCTATACTTGGGAAAAGATGGGTTGTGGCAAAAGCCTGGGTCTCAGAGGACACAGCTCACAGAGAAGCAGGATCCTTGGCCTCTCTCCAAGGTCCCTCATGACTTCTAGAGCTGGAGGACTATCCTGGCCCATGATAGGGCAATCATGCCTCCCAGAAGAAGTCCCATTTGCCTCCATTAGCTCCCAGCTGCCCAGTATGTGACCCTGGATGGACAGTGCCTCCTATACCTCAGGATTTGCTATCACAACCTTAACAGATAGGGGATTGCCACCCTTCACTGGGATGGGGGACACTGTCCCATCTGATGGCGCATGTTCCCCAAGTACATCCTCTCATTGGGTTCCTCCATCCCCTGACTCAGGGCTAGGATGATCGTCTCTAGGTATTAGTGAGGAAACTGAGGCTCAGAGGAGCTAAATGGCCTATGCAGGGTCACACAGGATTAGCTGCAGAGCCAGCTCCAAATTACACTGCTTCCTGCATGGGATAGTGGCCTGGGTTAGATGTGAGGGGAATCAGGTCCCCAGGACAATTCTTTGGTTCTTTCAGGGACACAGGGATTTGGAGCAGAGCTCTCTGTATCTCTTCTATGAACGCAGCCCACTGCAGAAGACTCATATCCAGCTCCTCCATTCCCAGGTCTGTGGCCTCAGGCCACTGGGAAGCACCATCATGAGCCAACAGGGTCTGAGAGGTCATTTGCTGAAGACCCCAGCCTGAAACTTACCCAGGCAACACTGAGTATAGCGTCTCCTTCCACTTGTAAGCAGAGTTTCTTCGGTTCCGTGTCACTACCACGTGTTCAGGGGATGCATGAACACGCACCTGGGGGTTCTTGAAGGTCACCTCAATCCAGTGGAAACAAGGCTTCTCTGTATTATACTGGCCAGTCACCTGAATCCCTAAGAAAACCAGATCGGAGAGGTAAAAGCCAAGGCTTGAGCATTGGCCAGAACAGAAGATTCTTCCTTGACAACATCCCTGCCAGAAATTGTCCTTCACCAACAGTTTTCTTCAGGAGGGCCACACCTGCTCCTCAGCATCCACACATACTGTGAGCCTGCTTTCTACCATATTTTTACTCACACTTTAGTCTCACATCATTTCAGAATGGCCCCCAAGTCTTTGGTGACAGCCACCCTCAGTAAGACTTTTCTTTTGGGGTACTGGGGATTGAACCTGGGGTGCTTAACCACTGAGCCATATCCTCAGCCCTTTTTTATATTTTATTTAGAGACAGGGTCTCTCTGAGTTGCTTAGGGCCTCACTAAGTTGCCGAGGCTGACTTTGAACTCACGATCCTCCTGCCTCAGCCTCCTGAGACCTGGATTTAAGGCATGTGTCACCACGCCTGACTTCAGTAAGACTTCTGAGAAGGCCTCTTATCTCAAGCCTCTAAACTTTCATCAGACTTCTGGAGTGTGCCTGTCCCTGAGATAGCTGCATGTCAAGGATAAGATGGAAAACTGGGATCCCTGCCCGCACGGAACACAAGACACCTGGGCCTGGGTGAGGAAGCAGGAAACCATGTGGTCCCAGGAGGAACACAGGAGCTGTGGCTGTCTGTGAGCATCCCCGAGCAGTGTGTGTTCCATGCCTGCCCTGTGACTTCGGCTCGAGCAGGGAGGCCCTTCCAGGGTAGGGGTGGACCTGCCTCCTCCCCCCACTGCCCTCTTCCACACCACCAGGGTCCCATAGAGAGAAGCTGCTCTGTGCTCTGCAGACACTGGTTCCTACAACTGGAGCATCACTCCTGGGTGACCCTGTATAGTTCCTTGACACTCTGGCAGCTCTGGCTTCCTCCTCTGAGTTCTGAGCACTGACCACAGTCTGTCCAGGTCATCCAGACCTGCAGAGGGTATCCAGTGCAAGGCCTTTGGTGGCTGTGGGAGCAGGAGCCCGTATCAGGGCACAGGGCATGTGTAAATGCTGTGTGCATCTCCTTGGGCAGGTGGTGAGTGGGCATGAGTAGTGTCCGGGTCTCTCACCTTGGTCAGGGTCTGAGAGCAGGTTCATGGGCTCCTGGGAGTGCTTGATGTTCACACAGAGCCTGTCCATGCTGGGCCCAGGCAGCGTCAGGAGGACAGGAGGAGCCTGGATGGGAGCTGGGACAACCAGAGCTAGTTCCTGAGGCAGGGAGAGAAGTGGGAGGGCCAAGATGGGAGAGGTACTGGGAGAGCTGGCAACTTACCTGAGGGTGGAGCTATCGTCACAACTGGTCCTAAAAGAAAAAGAAGGGAAAGATGTGGGTTCAGGCAGCCCCTTCCTAGGAAGTGGGAGTGTCACAGGATAGAATAGAGGACAAGTGTGGCTGGGGCTCCCTCTCCACTTCAACATAGAGAAACCCCATTTCAGGTTCATGGAGACCCCCCGGAACTCTCCCTTCCCATGGTCTTCCAGTTAGGACAAAAAGGGGCCCTGGCCTGGAGATACCTTTGTTTTGAATTTCCATGCCATGCAACAAAGATTTACGGGGATCCGAGGGGAGCAATGGTGGCGCTGAAGTGGTCATCAGTGTGTGGACATTGAGGAACAGAAAGGAGCAGAAGTCAGGGCTGGGAGCAGTCTCCAGGCCCATGGGTATGCCTGCCAATAGCCACCCACCAAACTCCAGTGAACTCTGCCCACTTATACCCGGCCTAGCAGGGCATAGGGTTAGGGAGATGCTGAGGAAGTCCAGCCTGGTTAGTGGCTACTTTTGAGTCCACATTTTGGCATCAGAAACAGCATAAGACTCAATCAATAAATGGGCCAAGGAACTGAACAGACACTTCTCAGAAGGTGATTTACAATCAATCAATAAATATATGAAAAAAAATGTTCAACACTTCTAGCAATTAGAGAAATGCAAAACAAAACTACTGTAAGATTTCATCTCAAGTCAGAATGGTGGCTATGAAGAATACAAACAACTATAAGTGTTGGTGAGGATGTGGGGGAAAAGGCCCACTCATACATTGCTGGTGGGACTTCAAAATGGTGCAGCCAATATGGAAAGCAGTATAGAGATTCCTTGGAAAACTGGGAATGGAACCAGCTTTTGACCCAGCTATCCCACTCCTTGGTCTATACCTAAAGGACTTAAAAACAGCATACTACAGGGACACAGCCACATCAGTGTTTATTGCAGCACAATTCACAATAACTAAATTGTGGAACCAATCTAGATGCCCTTCAGTAGATGAATGGATAAACACAACATGGTATATATGCACAATGGAATATTATTCAGCAATAAAAGGAAACAAAATCATGGCATTTGCAGGTAAATCAATGGACTTGGAGAATATAATGCTAAGTGAAGTTAACCAATCCCAAAAAACAAAATGCGAAATGTTTTCTCTAAGAAAGCTGATTAATAGTGGGGTTGGGAGGGGGAGCATGGGAGGATTAGGTGAACTCTAGATAGGGCAAAGGGGTGGGAGGGGAAGTGAGGGGGGATGGGGATAGGAAAGACAGTGGAATGAGATGGATATCATTACCCTAAGTACATGTATGAAGACACAAATGGTGTGAATATACTTTGTATACAACCAGAGATGAAAAACTGTGCTCTATATGTGTAATATGAACTGTTACATGCATTATGCATTATGCTGTCATGTATAACAGATGTGAATTAAAAAAAATAACAGAAAGGAACAACATAAGGGTCCCCTGTTGGCTTTGGGAATGGAGGAAGCTTTGCCTTCCTAGAGGGTTCCATCATGAATAGGAATTCTATCTAGTGAGAAAAAATGACATAGAAAATTCTGTTTCAGGGACAAGATGCCTGATGTCCCTAGCTGGTGGGGGGAAGAGGTGCTTCAGGAGGGAGAGTATTGGTAACTGTGCTCCAAAGAGCCTCACTATGAGCCCTCTTGGACAGTCTATGGCCCTTTTGGGGCGCTGGATCCTCTTTGAAAGGAGCATGAGAGGCTAGTCTGTCCAGGATTGTGACCTGACAAACTAGGGACAGTGGAGAGAGACAGGACAGCATACACTGGAGGAAATGAAATGCTAAGGGCAAGGCACAGGGGTGGCTTGTCAATAGCTGGGCAGGCAAGGGCAGCCCCTCAGGAGAGGCCATGCTCCCAACACGGGTCCACCTCTGACCCTCCCTCTGGGAGATCCTAGATTGACCCAGCCACCACTTACATGCCCTGTGGCAGTTCCCCTATGTGGCTTATCTGTGCTTTCTCTCTCCCCACTATGACCATCTTAGGGAAACCGAGGTTCTCCAAGGCTCAGAAAGTGGCTTACAGAATACCAAGTCCTCCATGTTCTGTAAATGGGAGAAATGAAAAGGATCCCCAGGTGGTCCTCTTTGTACTAATCTCTCAGTGGAGTCAGCAACTCTAGCGCCGAACCTTTGTGGGGAGTTGGAAACTATTCCTTTGGGGAAAAAAAATGACATGTGTAGTCTACCCTCAGTATCATGGGTTCCCCCAGCTAGGGCTCAGGGACTCCATGCCAGCAGTGGGCTGTGGAGAGGGCAGGTGGGCTCCCCTCACTCTATATCTGACCACTCTGGGGAGATTCTCCTGGGGCTGGGGGACAATCAATGCTGGAATTCTTTCCCGAGAAGGTCATACCTCCCGAAGGCAGTGCCCTCCCACCAAACTACCTTGCTTACTGAATCCTCTTCTTCTGGGATATCCAGAGCCGTATCCTATTCAGACACACCTGAGCTTGAGCCAGGCAAAGCAACCTCCCTCCACGGCCAGAGGCAGAGCCCAGTCCATGCCCTCCCCAACCCCTCCGCTTAGCTACCTGTCGTTCTGGACCCTTGGAGTCCTATGCCGTATCTGGAAAGATTGTAGCCTGGAAGTCAGTGATACCTGGATTTACTCCTTGGATCCACTTCCTGGGACCCCAGCTGAATGCGCTTGGGCAGACACCACCACCCCTGGCAGCAGGACACAGTGGATTTTACTCAGGCCAGCCTTTGGGCCTACTAGCCCTTACCTGTATTGATATTCCTGTGTCTGTTATCTGGATAAAATACACATACAGAAAGGGAAAGACAGAGAGAGAGAGAGAGAGAGAGAGAGAGAGAGAGAGAGAGAGAGAGAAAAGAGGAGGACACTATCAGGGAGGTTTTGATCAATTTGAAGAGACTATGTTTCAACTTGCTTCCTAACCCCAGAACTACATAGGGGAAATGAATCTAGGAGCCAAGGAGACCTGGCCAAAGTTTCCTCTTCAGTGAAACGGGATGAGTCTCCCTGGGCTCCTAGGAGTCTGTGGATGACAGGGGTGGCATCTTGGCTGGGACATAGGGGAGGGGTGGGAGAGGATACCCAGTAGATGCTCTGCTGCCCAGGAGGCTGGGACACAGGTCCCACACTCACCATCTTCCACAGCCTTCTCAGCAACTTGAGACTGTTCTTGGCCTTCGGGTTTGGTGACCACCATAGAGGTGAGAGGAGTGACAAAGTTGTATTCAAGTGACAAATTCAGAGCTCGGTCCTTGAGGACCTGTGATTCGGCTTCTGATGCTGAAACCCTGTAGTTTGAGGATGTCAGAGTTCAGGAGGTCTCTCCATGCCTGGACTGATTCCTTCGCCCATTGGTACCTTTTGGGGGGTTCCCCTTGGGAGAGTGTAGAGCTCAGACAAAATACCCCTCCCCACATCTAGGAGATGCCCCGTGTCAGCTGTGCCTGCCTCAGGAGCAAAAGGTTTAGGGAGTGCTGATGCTGTGTGGTCTGCCTCAGTGGCCGGCAATGGTCAGGGCCACTCACATCTGCTCCAGCTGTTGCTGGATAGTCAGGTATGCCCAGAGTCTCTCCATGAAGTTGTGGAAGATGTACTTGGGGCTCTGAAACTCCTCCTCCTGCTTGGCCACACTGGACTTAGTTTGGAAGGTGACATTCTGCTTGTGCTAGAAAGAGAGGCCCAGCCAGGTCAAAAGCAATGAGGGCCCAAAGTCTGCACCTGCCCTGTACTTCAGTGCTCTTCTGTGAGAGACCTGACTGGAGCTGGGGCAGGTCCAGTTCACTGACCACAGGGGCCTCATTTCCTCTGGAGGGAGAGTAGGGAGGGGGTTTAGCAGTGTTAGAGTCTCTGTCACAGAGACTCCAAGGGTGAGAAGAAGGCCCCCTGTCCCAGCACAGCAAAGCAGATGATAAGCCAGGACCTAGGCCAGCTGACCTCTTGGGGGAAAGGATAATAAGGATTAGAACTAAACCTCAGCCCGGTGTAGACACAGCAGCAGGAAGAATTTGCAAATGCATGAGAAACAGAAAGGGTCACCAAATGGGCACTGTAATCCCAGCAGCTCAGGAGGCTGAGGCAGGAGGATCATGAGATCAAAACCAGCCTCAGCATCTTAGCAAGGCCCTAAGCAACTCAGCAAGACCCTGTCTCTAAATAAAGTACAAAAAAGGACTGGGAATGGGGCTCAGTGGTTAAATTACCCCTGGGTTCAATCCCCAGTACCAAAAAAAAATAAGTGTTCCCAAACACAACCCACCCTCACCCCAAAGATGAGAAAAAAGAACAGAAAGGCTCAGTCTGTTCATCTGTGGCTCTCCCTTGTCCAACTGTACCCTCAGACTGTTGGCATGAGGACTAGAGGGGATGGCAATTAGGAAGGAATCCCTGCTGTCACCTTGTACTCTCAAGAATGGTGAGGGGGTGGAGCACAGAGTGCTGAGTGCCCACATGTGCCAGGAACAGCATCGGTTCTCTCATGAGATTCTATGTGGTCTAATTGAGCCTCCACCATGAACTCATGCAGCAGGGGTTGGTATCATGCCTAGGAGGCCGAGGGGAAACCTGGGGCCCAGGAAACATGGAGACTCATTCAAGGCCAATCAGCTGGAGCTCAGCAGGGCTGGGATTTGGGGCAGAAAGGTGGAGGCTGCCCCAGCTGCCCCTGTCCTCACCATCTTCCCCTTGACTATGGCTGACAGCACATCAGGGCTCTTGTCTCGGAGTTTGCCAGCCACCACCATCTCTGAGCCCTTGAAGAGGAGTCGGAAGTTGTCCTGCGTGACCTCTTCCACAGCATTGCTTGGGTACTGGAAGGCCACTGTTGTCAGCAGGGGGTTGGCCACCTCCTGGTAGAAGTCCTACGGGATGGGGGTGGGGAGGGGTGTCACAAAGGCCTAGGCTGGGTCTGCCTGGCTCTCTGCAGCCCACCTGGGGCACACTGGCACCTGTAGCTGCAGGGCAGAATCTGAGTCCTCATAGATGCGCCGAGCCAGGCCGCCGTTGTCCAGAGCCATCTTCTCCAGGAAGGCGTAACTGACGTCAAAGCCGAAGCCCAGGCAGAAGAGGCTGTACTGGCCATCTATGGCTTCCTGAACATTCTTTTGGATCTTTCTGGGATTGGTCTCCCCTGGACCCATGGGTTTGGGAAAACAATGAGAAAAGAGCAATTTGCTCAATGAATATTTCTGGAACCTCAGATCTAGAGGCTCCTGGGTGAGCCCCCTTCCTGCACTTGATTACACAGCAAGCCGGGAACAGCCCCAGCTATTTTCCCTGGGCAGGTTCCCAGAATGGCCAGCAGTGCCCTCACCCACGGTGGGGTCGCCATCAGTGAGCAGGATGATGAGGGAGACGCTCCCTTCGGACAACAGCTCCGCCTGGTTGTCACTCTTTAGCCGCCTCACGGCCGTCAGCATCGCCTCATTGATGTTGGTCCCTGAAGGGCACACACTCAAGGTGACTCCCAGCCGGGCACCCCTGAGCTCCCGGCTGCAGGGCTGCGGAGGCTCTCACCTCCCAATGCATAGATGCCGGCAGCGTATCTCTTGGCCTCGTCCACATTCTCAGTGGAGGCTGGCACCAGCTGTGGCTTCCACTGGGTCACTTCACTGCTGAAGGTGATGAGGTTGAACTGGTCTTTGGGGCCAAGGTCACTTAGGATCTTGATGAGGGCTTCCCTGGTCTGGTCAGGGGAAGAGGAGATGAGGTGGGGGGCTCGGAGGGAATTCCTGAGGGCCCTTGGGCTGGCCTCCAGGACTGGTTCTGGGATGGGGACACAGTGTAGGGTCTGCAAGGAGAGGCGGCCCCATGCCAGGGCCACCCTTGGCCCCTGGAAGCTCCCTACCCAGGGTGATGGAGCAGGTAGGGTCTGCCTGTTGGACCAGGGTGAGTGGCATGAGGGGCTTGGGAGTTTCCGGAGCCCATAGGACTGACCTGTTGGATTTTCCGGCCACTCATGGAGCCACTCTTGTCAATGACAAAGACTACATTCTTGGGCATTGTGGGCAGACCCTCGGGGGCAAAGTAGTGCACGAAGTAGCCATTCTCAATCTGTGGCCAGAGGGAGATGCACCCAGTTGATCAGAGCTGCAGTCCTGCCCTACCTACCCCTCTCAAGTCTCTTTATCTCAAACCCTTGGGGTTTGTTCTCCTTGTTCCACACCTCCATCTCCATCCCACCACTAGCCTCCCCCAAATCCTTGCCATCTTTCAAGGCTCCGCCCCTTTTTTTGCAGAAGCCTTCCCTGCTTGTGCACAGCCCACTACAACTGCCCCAACTTTGCTTCCTATTTGTTTTGGTATTTGAGGCAGCTTACGGTATGCTAAAGGTTAAGATATAATAAACCTGACATCCATGAAAAGAGAAAAGGTTTCACAAATAAGGAGGAAAGGGGAAGCATAATGATGCTAGAAGTTTGTTTGAGCCTCCTGGCAGCAAAGGCCAAGAGGGAAACCACATAAAGCAGCTCTTCACAGAGACAAACACTTTCTGTCTCTGAAAGGGAATAGTTTGAGGGACAACACAACTAAACTGCCTATTTTCTGTCTGCACCAACCCCTTGTGCATACAAATAAATAAGGGTCATTATTCTCCTCTTCTAGAATGATCTAGCTTTGGCCTTTAAGGGTGGATGGACTTCCAGGTTGCCACGTTCTTGCCTGGAGTCCACTTACCTGAATGGAGCCTCCAGAGAGGGTTCGGTTCACATCATAGCGGACAATGAAGTTGCCGTCCAGGACTGTGTCCTGCTGACCTGGAGACTTTTGCTGCTGGGACAGTGTTGGCTTGAACAGGATGTGAGCCTGGAGGAACAAATGGCTGAAATTGGGACTGGTGGCAAGGCCATGCCAACAATACCCTCCACCTCTGTATGCTTATAGGAAAGTCAGAATTCTAGGATGCAGTCTGGGGTCAATACTCCAGGGGCCTTTCTTTCAGGCTGGGTGGCCTGAGGGAATGCCCTGTTTTTGGAGCGAGGTAAGCAGAGGCTAGGCTCAGGATGCATGTGATCCAGCTACCAATTCCTCTCTGCTTGGTTTCAGGGTTCTCCCACCACAGTCTACACCACAGACTCCAAGTCCATGTCCCAAAAATCTTGGGGCTCCAACAAGTGTCCATTCTTCTCCAGGTCTTGCCCTCCTCCTCTGTCTGTCCAGCAGTAGCATAGACACAGATCTCAGAGAACCTTCCAGCTCAGAGAATCTGCCCAACTGTCCTGCACTCTGAGGCTCCAGCTCACAGGGCTGGACTGAAGGCAGGCCCCTGGATCCCCTCTCCCCGCTGGCCCACGACAGGCCCACCTTGGTCTTGTTCTGGGAGACAGTGAGGGCATCTGCTAGTTCGTTGGTCATGAAGGAGCTTTCTGTCTCTAGGAAGCTGATGCCCTGAGGCTCAAAGATGTGAATGTCCATCTGGAAGGGAAGATATGGGTCACTAGGTTAGCTGGGAGCCTAACAGGAGGCCAAGGGCAGGGCCATCCAGAAGCCTCCCAGGAAGAGGCCGCACAGGTACCTGCAGGTGCTTCACCACCTGCTGGGGTCGCACTTTCAGCAGCAGCTCATACACCCCCAGATGCCGCTTGAGCAGCTCCTCATACACCAGCTCGAAGGTAACCTTAGCAGCGGGAGCCACACTGACCGACACCTGGAACTGCTCCATCTTTCTCCCGATGGCCCTGGGGGAGGGGGCCATCAGGTCTGCACCTACAGGCCATTGGGGGAAGGCTGCTGGAAGTGGGAGCAAGGCTAAGGGTCTCTGCCCGTGGCCCCCTCCCTATTACAGCTGCCCGCCCCCCGGGCTCACTTGATGAGGCCGGCGCTCTCTCCTCTGGCCACAGCCTCACTGTACTGCTTCTGGGCTGTGGCCTTCTCCTTGATGTTCCCTGGGTAAGTCACACCATCGATGATCCTGGGGGCAGGGGACAGGAGCTGTCAAGAGGCTGGTGGGGCCTCTTAACACTGTGGCTCTTGCCTTTGCCTGAGCCTCCTGCCATTTATTTATTTATTTTGGGGGGCGGTGGTTACTGGGGATTGAACTCAGGAACACTCAACCAATGAGCCACACCCCAGCCCTATTTTGTATTTTATTTAGAGACCAAGACCTTGCTAAGCTGTCTAGGGTCTCGCTAAGTTGCTGAGGCTGGTTTTGAACTTGCAACGCTCCTGTCTCAGCCTCCTGAGCCGCTGGGATTAAAGCGTGTGCCATCGTGCCCAGCTTCTCCTACCATTTATTATGCACCTACTGCATACAAGACCTTGTACAGGATGCTGGGTGAGGACTCCACCCACCCCAGACCTGCCCAGAATTAGTAAATATGCATTTTATTGAAGGGACAGGGGAGGATAGAAAGGAGGCTGGATGTGGATCTCTCTTCACCCTTCCAGTCTGGTCCCATCTTCCAACCTGCCCCTTCCACCTCAAGGACTGTTCCAGAGGAACCAGTCAATTACCAGCAAGAGCTTTCTGAGCTGCACCTGTGCCTAGTTCTGTGTCTAACCGCACGGCCAAGATGGAGCAGGAGGGCGACATGGGCCCGTAGGCTCTGATACTTTCCCTGAAGCTGCACCCTCTTTCCTCCCACTCAGGGCAGGCCCTCTGGAGGGAGTCTGGCACCTCTGGAAGTAGGCTTTGAACCAGTGGTGAATGAGAGTCCTGGGTGTGTAGACGTGACCCTAGTGGCTATTTCTCTGGAAGGAAAATGATAACTCCAGAGGCTCCTTGTCCAGTGAGTAAGAAGATGTCAAGTAAATATTATGCCTGTTCCATCTGGGGGCAGTGGGAGAGGGTGGGAATGTGGGGGTTGCAAGGGAGAGGCAGCTGGATGCATGGAGCGGGCATCCCCCTCCCACTTCCCCGCTTTTCTTGTTTTTAATGGAACTCTGGGCCAGGATGGGACTGGGGCATGAGGAACTTGGCTCCTCCTGACCAGGTCAGGGAGCAGGGAACGCTGCCCTGTACTTCCCTATCAAATACAGGCACAAAATCTGAGGCCAAAAAGAGGTGGTGCCAATCCTGGGCTCTCAGCAGATGGGATGATCTTGGCTCATTGGAGCCTGGCACAGCCTGCAGGGCTCCTGATGCAAGATCCAGGGTAGGAAAACTTGGGCTGGATGGGCAGGGAGAGGGAGGAGCCAACCAAAGAGGTCCCGCCCCCTCCCTCTCTGCTCCGCCCAGCTCTCCCTCTTTCTGGGAGGAGCCTCTCTCCTGTCCTCAACCACTGCTTTTCCCAGAGGCCAGGACGGAGAGAAGTTTTGCTGAGTTTAGCAAACATTGCAAAACTGTGTTGGGAAGGGTGGGGAGGAGAGCAGAGGACAAAGTGAGGATTGTCACCAACCCTCTGTAGGAAGCCCAGACCTCTTCTGAGGTAGAACAGCGGACAGTTTCCTGCAGTACCCCTCTTTAACTTTACTCTCCATGGTGGGCAGCCCAAGGGGTAAGGAAGATCTCTCTATTCTGGAATCTGCTTTTGGTGACTCCCTCCTGCCTAGTTCTGGCTCAGGATGCCCCAAGCTTGCATTCTTCAAAGGCAAAGACGCAAAAATGCCAGGGGTCCTCAGCCTGCTACCCAGGCAGCACTTGAAGAGGAGGACTAGATGGCAGGAGAGACAGATCACATCCAGGAACAGTGAGCTCCTTGACAAAGCCCCTGCCCCCTGTGAGGCCTGCAGGTGGATCATGCATATCCTGGAGTGGCTGGCTTCTGGAAGAGGATGTCCTGGGGCCCAGAGGAGATGGAGTAGCAGTGCTGGGTTGTGGGACAGGGAGGAGGGTAGGAAGGCACCTACATGGAGAAGTTGGTGATGAAGGCTTTCTTGGGCAGCTCCATCTCAAAGATGGCCTCCTGCGCTTCCTCAGCCCTGTTCACTACCCGGCTGGTGACGACCGTATGGGCAAATCGAGAAGAGACCTTGGAGTCCACGGTGAGGCTGTAGATTTGGATGCCATTCTGGATCAGCAAAGGGAAAGTAGGTCAGAGCGTTTCAGTGCCACTCATTTAGGCAACACTTTGAGAGTGAGCCTTGACCCTGGCTTCTAGCCTAACCAACTTGCTGATCAGGCCTCAGGCCAAACTCAGGGAGATATTTCACATATGAACATGCATAGAGAATAAGAGACAGCTGCAAGCTTCATTCCCCACCCTATAGCACCATGGGCAGGGACCATGTCCATCTTGTTCTATGGAGGCCTACAGCACCCCAGAGGGAACAGCAAGCAGGTGGGGCAGCACCCCAAGAAACGACACATGTGCACACATGCAGAGCCTCACATTTCCCTGTGTGTACCATGCTCATGAACACACCAGTGCTGCTCAGCTGCATATGGCTACACATGTGTGTGTTTTAGCACAGAAGTGCCAAGTGGCTCATTGACAGCCTGTTAGCTTTGTGCCCTGCACACTACAGAACACTTTACAGCTATTAGGAGCTCAGTTTACACAACAATCATCTGAATAGAATCTGTTAATACCCTGTTTTACAGATGAGGAATCTGCAGAGGAAAGCAAAAAGAACTTCCCTGAGGGTCATTCAACCAGGGAAAGGAAGAGCTGGGCTGGTAAAGCTGCATCCCTACCTACCCAGCTCCACTAGGGGTCCCTAGGAGCAACTGGTTACACCATATTCCCTCATCTGTAAAAGGGAAATAATAGGATCATCCTTTCTATTAAGTGGGGGTGGGGATACCCACAAGGCCCTGGGGGTAGAGCTGGTGGATGGTCAGCACTGTTTCTTTGCACACACACACAGACCCACACTCTTACTTAGATGCTTGCATGCTCAGAGGTTCTCTCCCACTTTGCAGTCATGTCTTCTCTTTCCCCAGCTCATATGCATCCCTCCCGCACCCCCAGGCACCCATGAGGACCCCCTACCTTTTGGGCCGTGGCAGTCTGAAGGACAGCCAGCAGCAAGGGCAAGACTAGCACGATGCTGCCGATGTGGGCAGGGACTGGGACCTTCATTTTGGCTCCAGTGCCTGCCTGCCAGGCTGCTTCTGAACCTGAGAGCAGATGGGAAATAAATTAGTAACTGCTCATTGCTCCGCCCCTGCGGGGGCAGGTTCTGGGAAATTGGGATCTATAAGCCAAAACTCCCAGAGGCCTCAGATAAGCAGGCAAATGACCAATGTCCAGTGAACTTTGGCTGGGGGCAGAACATATCCTGAGGAAAGGCTCAGGGTGGAGTTGGGTATTGGTGCCCCTTCTTTTTTTTGGTGGGGGTGTTGGGGGACAATCCTCTACCACTGAGCTACATAGCTCTGGCCCTTTTTGTTTTTTATTTTGACACAGGGTCTTGCTAAGTTACCCAGGCTGGCCTTGAACTTGCAATTCTGGATTATGGGACAGGGAGGAGGGTAGGAAGGCACCTGCATGGAGAAGTTGGTGATGAAGGTTTTCTTGGGCAGCTCCATCTCAAAGACTCCCCATTAGCTGGGATTACAAGTATTTGCTATCACCCGCAGCTTTTAAATTGGGTTTCTTTTTCTTTCTTTTAAAATTTTTATTTGTTTATTTTGAAGTACTGGGGATTGAACGCAGGGCCTTGTACATGCTAGCAAGTGCTCTACCACTGATGTATACCCCCCAGTCCCTGGGACCTCTTTTTTTTTTGGTTCTGAGGATTGAACCCAGGAGTGCATTTACCACTAAACTACACCCTTTTTATTTTTATTATTTTTATTTTGAGACAAGGTCTCATTAAGTTTCTCAGGGTTCTGCTGAGTTGCTGAGGCTGGCCTACAACTTGTGATCCTCCTGCCTCCACCTCCTGAGTTGCTGGGATTAGAGGTGTGTCCCACTGCCTGGGGCTGGCACCTCTTCTGAAAAGTCCAGAAGCTCCCTAGGTACCATGACCCCTCAAACCAGTCATCCCACCAAGTTTCATAGTGTTGGGGCACGTGACAGTGAAGAGGAGCGGACAGTTTCCATAACCTCCATCCTGGGAGAAAACGGGGAGCTGGCCATTTTAGGTGGATTTCTGGGTAATGGGGGCCTGGGAAGTGCGGCTGGGAAGTGGTGGCCCTGGAAGCCTGAAGAGGCCCATAGAAGTGTGTGAGAGGCCCAGGCAGAATGGGTACACCTTATTTTTGGAATGGGAGGTGCGGAGCCCATAAGCCCTTCTTCTTCCTGAGTCCCAGGCTGCTGTTTGGGCTCCATTAATCTAGCCAGGGTTCTACGATCAACCCCAGGTGGGCCCCAAAACAAGGCCTGAAATTCGACAGCACACACCAAGAGCCTAAGAGATGCACAACCCATGGCCCATGGTAGTCTACAAGAGCCAGCTGCATAGAGAGCTCCTGAAGCGGAGCACGAGCAGGGTGACAGGTGTCCTCAGGGGGCCTGAGAGGGCACAACACTGACGTTGCCAAGGCCGTTAGGCAGCTAGTCCCCAGGGGTGGGTTAGGTGGGGTTCTTAGTGTCTTTCATTTTTTTTTCAATCCACCTTTAATAAAGTCGAAGTGCTGCTTTTATAATAAATAGCAATAAAAATTGAACAAATATTAGGTGCTCTGAATGCAGCTGGTGTGTTCCCTGGTGGTTCTAGGGAGATCAGCTCCTGAGTCTGTGGACACACAGGGGTCAAAATGAATCATCAAAGTCCGGCCAGGTGCTCAGTCCTGGGTCAGAGAATGATACCAGTGACTCAGTGATACCAGCTGCTATGGGGCCCACACAGTGCCCTGGGGCAGTAAGAGGCTTTCAGAGGGCTGGGGCAGTGTCTCTGCCATCAGCCCTTCCTCAAAGCTGATGGCATCTGGCCCTGGAGAAAGCTTCGTAGACTTGGGAGTGAATTCTGTGGCAGCAAGGAAAACTTCCTTCTTTTTCAGCACAGCTATGGCCAGAGCGCACCTCTGTGCACATCCATACCGTTAACCCTTTTGGCTCTGCATAGGATTGGGGTTACACAGGGGGACATACCCCTTTGGTATATGGGAAAGAGCCTCCCCAAGGGGCCCAGTGAGCAAGCCCAGACTCTGTTCCCACAAGAGATCTGCTCTCCTGGGGCACAGGGCTTCGCACACACAGGCTGGAGCCCAAGCTATATAAGGAGGCCAAGCTGGTCTGGAACGTGGGAAAGGCTCTGAGCAGCCATCTCCCCCTGCTCAGGGGACAGGAGGGGCTTCTCAGTGGCATTAGCCTTGAGCCAGGCACTGTGATCCCAGGCCCTGCCAGTCCAGTCCCAGGAGGAACCTATCAATGATCCTGCCATCACAGCTAGACAGGCCTTGATGATCCTTGAATCTAATAGTTCCATGCACACTAGGGACACTCCAGCTGAGATCCTGGTGTTCCCATGCTCCAGGTAGCATGGGGGAGGAGTAGAAAAGAGGAGGCTCACCCTGTTGTTTGGAAGAGGAGGAAATAGCTTAGGAAACTACGTGACACTGGCCAGGGAGGAACTTTGGCCAGGGAGGAACTTTGGCCAGGCTCTCTCTTTGAGGAGACTTTGGATCATAAGGGAGCATGAAGAGGGTACAGGAGGAGTGGGCTTTGGAACCTATGCCCCACAGGCCTTGGGGTCCTTGGATGCATCTTAATGGATTCCATTGGGGAAGGGAAGAGCCCCAGGTCTCCAATGACTTCACTGTAAGTGGTGTTGCTATGACTTCCTTTATGTGAATAGCTCAGCCCCCCTGTTGTATACAAGGGGAAACAGGATCAGAAAAAGGGGAAGAGGCTGGTCTAAAGTCACACAGAAGGTGAGCACCATGTCTCTAAGTCCAGATTCTTTCTAGTATATCTCAGTGGCCCTAATGTCACCTGCTTCATCCCTTGGGGCCCACCTAAGAGCCCAGGAAGGGAACAGGACATATTCCCATGCCCTTTCCCATTCCTCACTCTCCTCTGCAGTTAGTAGCAGCAATGGCCAGTGATCAACCAACAACCTCCTAATGCTGAGGCCACTTGGGCATACTCTTTATTGGTGTTTCCAAGGTTCTGGTGCAAAGGGTCAGGGCTGTGGGGCAAGGGCGGCGGTCCCAAAGACAGCTGGGAAGAAAGACATATTCTGGCATAAAAAAAGTTCGTGGGAAAGGCTCCTGTGTCCAGGTGCTCCGGGTGGAGGGGGCGTGATGAGCACTTCTCAGCCAAAGACACTCTTGGCAGGTCCAGCTTTGGGCTTCTCAAAGACAGTCTCAGTGCCTGTGCGGTCACGGCTGAACACAGATGGGGCGACTGAGCCAGCTTGCTCTGTGGGAAGGAGGTAAGGGAGGTACTGTTAGGGAACAGACCTGGCTTCCTCCTAGGGAAGGCCCCTTGTATTGAGAGCAGCCCCTTCTGAGCCCAGAAGCTCTGGATTCTCAGGAAAGACCCCTTGATACCCACCCTACAACAACCACAACCCCATATCAAATTGCAGCCCACTTGGAGGACACTCACCACACTCCCGCATGACCTGGTAGGTCTTGGACTTGATTGCCTGGTTCTTGGCCAGGTTCCCTCGGGCCCCCTTCAGATCTTCCTCCTTCACAGGGGGACGCTTCTTCTTGATGGGGGCTTCTGGAGCGCCAGCCTTGGAGAACCCAGAGCTGAATTTTTTCTGAGGCCTCAAGGCAGAGACCCCTTTCCTGGCTCACTGAGCTCAAGCAGGTTCAAGACCCATTCCTCTTGCAAGAAGTCACAGTGATACACCCCCGCCCCGTGCGTCTCCCAGCCCCCTTGGCCTGACCTGCATACCTGCTCTCCCTCACACACTTGGAGTTGCTGGTGGCAGAGGCCACCATAGCTTCATACTGGTCTGTCTGCCTATTCCTGAACAGGACACAGGAGAAAGGGACTGGCTTTGAGGCTGAGCAGCCCCAGGAAATTTGTTGAGTTCCAAGACCTGATATTGGATGGCAAGGGGTCTCTTAGGGATTGTCCCTCTCCAGAAAAGCACCCGTATTTTTACTTAGTATGTCTTTGGAAGGGAATGGGTAGACAGTCCAGATGTCCACAAAGTGACAGTTCAAACTTGACACCCATCCTTGGAGCAGACAACAAGGACAACCCTCATTGGCAGGCTAAGACTATGTGTCCTTCCAGTGCTGGGACATTCAGAGTCAATGCTTGCTTACAACCCCAGGCGCCTGTGAGTCTGAGGCCTTATTCCTTTCTAAGCCCTGGGGGCAGGTGCAGGGATTCCCTCCCTCAGCCCGGGCTAGGCTCCCAGGACAACACCACCCCTATAAAGAATACACCCCGCTTGGGAAATACAGGGACACAGAGCTGAACACCTAGGCATAGACTCCAGTGTGTGTGTATACACACACACACACACACACACACACACTGCACGGCTACAGCTACAAACATACACACAACTGTACACACTGGGCTATATAGGCAGCTCCCTCACACACACACAAAGGGACATGTAGAGGTCTATAAAGGGACACACCCATCTCCCACCACCCCTCCTAACAAACTAGAGAATAAACAAAGCCAGGAGCTGGGACGTCCTCCCCAGGCCTGGCCTCCCCAGGGCTATAGTGCCTCCTGTTTATCCTTGGATCTTAGCTCAAGACAGCTGCCAAAGATGAGGTGTCCAGGACTCCACCCTGACTCCCTTTGGTTCCAACACAGCCCATGCTGGGCCCTCCTACCTGGGACATGGTGGGTGCTGGGCAAGAGATGGCTCCCTGAAGGTGCCTCTGGCAGACAGCAGCGAGGCAAGAGCTCTGCGTGGAGCCTGGCCCTCTGGAGCTTATATAGCCTGCTGGCTCGTCCCTGTAAGTCACTCCCCTACCTCCGACAGGCTCTCTGATGATTCAAGTCCACTCAGCCACTAGCTTCAGAGTTTATTCTCGGACATGATGGGGACAGCAGCCCTGGCGAAAGCAGACAGCTGGGGAGACCCTGCACCCTTGGGAACAGCTGCTCTACTTGCAGGTGGGAGGTGCTGGCACTAATGGCGACTGGCTGTGTTTATGAATGTGGGTCTAGGAATGTGTGTGACAGTTTGGCTTGTCTGTCTGCAATAGCCCATCCCAGTGTAGGGGGCTGTCCGTGAGGAGAGGGAGGGCCCTGAGCTGGGTTGGATGCTCTGAGCTTGTTTTTCTCTCTCTTCTGCTCCTTCCTGTGGATTTTAGTGGGAAGTGACTTTCTATCCCGAGCAGCAGCAGGGCAGAAGTTTCCAGTGTCTGGTGCTTGGAAGCATTTGCTTAGGGTGAGCTCACAGGGCCATCATGATAGACTCAGAGCAAGGGGCCACTGATGGCCCACAGATGGGGAAACTGAGGCCAAGGGGACCCTGGGGGGCTGCTCCACCAGATTTTTGTGGATAGCATCGTCCTCTGCCCATTTCCGGCACATGACCTTGGAGACTGGCTCTCCTTCTAAACTGAAAGGGAAGAAGCAAGGCAGTGGGAAGGGGGGCCCAGGAAAGACTAGAAAATGCTTGACATGAGGGTCCCAGGGACAGTCTCTGTCTGGGATATGTCATAGGGATGGGGTGGGGCTGACCAGCAGGACAGCTTAAGTGCTACAAGAGTCCTGAGAAGGAGTGAAGCCCACCCCAGGTATTGAGCTGTGCAGGGGACAGGCTCAAGGACCTCCTGCAAGGTGACTTGGTTCTCCTCTGTTTCCATCACCCTCATCTTTGTAGGGGAAGATCCCCAGGGCCACACGGCAGGGCTCTGAGCCTGGGGTGGGTGTGGGGAGTGGAGACGATCCCCACCAGAGCAGACACACCCCAGTTCCTTTCCTGTTTGCAATGGAGATTATTTTTATCTTGAAGGCTCTAGCAGATGGAACCCAACCAGGCATTGACATTTGGTTATTCCAAATGCCACTCCACTGGTATCATACCTTAACCCCACCCCAATCCCCACTCTAGTTTCGGTTCCCAGGAGGCCAATGTGAGGATGGCCAGGCTCAGGCTGAGATGAGTGCTGACAGGGAATGCCAGGACTCCCAGGGGCAGTGCAGGGCACGCCAGGCCTGGTGAGGGCCCTTCCACCAGCACCAGGGTGCCAGCCGGGGCTTCAGCACTGCCTCACAGCTGGCTCTGCCCAGCCCATGGCCTCTGGGATAGGATGTGGGGTGCTCCCTCCTCACACCACCTCCCAGCATGGCTCATTCCTCTGGAGGTAGAGTGGCTTAGTCTCTCATTAGCAAGGAAGTAGACACGGCAAGAGCACGTTTGATTTCTTTCCTTGGCAGACTGGCTTCGCTGCTGCATGGGGCGATGTGATGTTCCTTCTCCTGCAGCTTCCTGGGGAGCCTTCTAACCCACTGGGGACATTGTTTTAAACTCCATTAAGCTATTTCAACCCCAGAAAAACACACAACCAACAACCACAAAAGTGATGGTTTCTTTTTTAAAAAACTGTTATGTCAAACTTTATTGTAAACCATTTTACAATATAAGTACATCATCTTCCCTTTCATTTCGAAACTGTATTTCTGTGACTTGTAACACCACTGACGAAACACCCTTGCTGGGATGGCGGCTGAAGTGGCCTCGGTTCTGCTTACATAGGTCTGACTTCTAGTAAACTTCATGAAAAGAAAAATCAAATTGAAAACAACCAAACCAATCAATGAACCAACTGACCTGCCCACCCACCTGCCCAGGAGCTCAAGGTGCTCGAAGCAAGTCAGACCAAAAGTCTCTCACCAGAAGCATTGCCCCTTGGGGCTTTCAATGTCTTACAAGGTAAAACAGAGCTCTGCCTCTTAGCTGGAAGGGTGTGGAACTTCTAAGAGTCAGCCTTGTGCCCTATGAAGTGGCTGCTCTGTCTGGCCAGCAGAAAGCCCCCAGGGCAACCTGTCTTGACTTGCTGCAAAAAGGTCACTGAAGTGCAGTCCGGAGGGCTGAGCAAGCCCTTCTCCCTCAGGGTCCTGGGCCAGCCTTCAGATGTGGACCCTGGTACACTGCTGAAGGGAAGTTATGACTTGCATTTGAGCTTTTTTATGTTCCCTGAAGAAAGAGGCATGAGAGGTGACATTAACCTAAGACTCCCTGTTACCAGGGAGGGCACAAGTGAAAGTTGTGGCAGGAGGCCACCACAGTGCTCAAGGGCTGAGGGGCCACAGACCCTCACCTTGCACATCTTCAGGCTATGTGGACTGAGAAGCCATTAACACCCAGGATCTCATCACCATCTCCCTTGCCATTGTCAATGTCCTAATAACAGCCAAAAGGAAATAACAGCAACAACCACCTTTTCCAATCAGATCACAGTTCTGCCATATTGGTTTATTTTCAATAGTTACAAGAAACCTGTTCCTGACCTTGATTTCAAGCTTCCATTGTGGGTGGCTTGGCCAAGGTTCAGATTTGGACAAATCAGATTGACCGTATACAATATTCCGTCAGTATCCCATCATTTCTCAAGCACGGTGACGCCTGCCATTAGCCAGTGAAGGGCTGCACCTCGTAAGGCACCTCGGAGCAGGTGGTGAGGAAACTCAACCCAGGGAGGGAGGACAGCTCAGGAGGAAGTCCTGACCACAGCTCTCTGTGTTGCTTTCATGGGAGAGTGTGCCATGTAAGAGCCCCAGTGACTAGAGAGCTGGAGGCTCTCCCAGGGCACAGGAGGATGGGAAGGCCTAACATGTGATGATGCCACACCGTCCAAGCCCACACACCAAGAGGCCCCTGGGATCAGACAGACTCCCTGTTCGACCTCCACCCTTGTCAACCAGTTACACAGCTGCAGCTCAGAGACTCAAGCCCTTATTAACAACAATCAGGACACAGGACACCACCAGCACTCACTTGCTACCTCTGTCCCTCAAGCTCACTGTTCAGTGGATGCTGGGACAAGCCTGGATATGAGGTCCTCTGAGGTGTATACAACCCCAAGTTTCCTTCTTTTACAGACAGTGGTCCCCTACCCCTGAACCTGGTTTGGAAACACTGGGAACTCAAGACTGAACATGAAGCTTGAACTCTGAGTGACAGTCTCCCCAGAAATGCCAGTCTTGGGTCTTGCCAGTCACAGTAGTCTGGGGATGGGCAACCCAAGAGAGCCCCCACTGGAGACGTGGAGATGTGGTAGGGAAAGACCACAGTTATGGAATGGGAGGAACCAAAGAGAGTGAATGAGAGCAGGAGCATTGTGGGACCTGCGCAGGCTCCATCTCGCTCACTGCCAGCCTGTCCCCTCCTCTGGCAGCGATCCCCACACTGGTGGAGTCACCTCCTACTGCACAGCTACAGTCCCTGCTCCTCACAGTGATTCCGCATTCCTGGAGGAAGAGGGGCTGAGAGGGCCTCCCTAAGCTATTCCACCATGTCCAAGACAGGCAGGACCACAAGCAGCAGCAGACGACAGTTCCAGGTGCCTGGTTCAACAGTCTGGCTTACATACCACAAACATATTCAGACCCATTATGCTGAAGAGGAACATGTTTTTACACAGGTTTAAAAAGATGGTTCTGAGTGGAATGGCCTCTGCGCTTGTCTCACTTGTAGCCCGCATTATAGCGTTTTTATAGTTTTTTGTTTTATAGTTTTTTGTTTCATTATAGTTTTCTGTTCCTAAGGATCTGTGGCTGCCTCTTGGCATGACAAACCACTGGGCAACTCCACCCTGCTGCTTCCACAGCAGGAAAGTGCTGGGCTCAGCCAGCTCCACCTCTATTCAGCAAACTCTCCGAGCCACAGGGGCCTGTGGCCAGGCTGAAGAGCAGGTGCTACCATGTGAGGAGGGGCTGCAGCCTCTGGATTTAGAGCAGGTTGTCTCACCTCTACCTGCCCACCCCAGCCTCCATGCTCTGCAGAGTGGGGAAGGGGGGACTGAAAACAGGCTCGTCTGGCCATGTGGATGTTCTCCAGACTTCCATGTAAAATGAGCAGATAACAGCAGGTGACAGGCACCAGAAGAGGATTGACTCTGCAGGCTGCTGTAGTAGAGGCTAAGAGGCTGGGACTATTTTACACTTGAGATCTGGAAGCTCTGGGGAGAGGCAGGGAACAAACACGAGCAGCCCATGCTCTTGATTCCTCTGGACACAAAAACCTAACTCTTAGGCTCCTTTACCAGTTAAACCAAGACCTCTAACCTGCCAGCAGAAGTGACTGGGGTCCTGGCAGATCCCCTCCTGTTCCACACACTCTGGGGCACGCAGATCCACCTTCAGACCAGCTGCCTCATGCACAGACCTGACCTTCCACAACCACGGGTTCTGATTCCAGGCAAAGGCCGTCCACCTTGCCCACTGGGGTCACTTGCCTCATCTTATCGTAGGACATTACTTAACAATATCCCAAGTAGAAAAACTCTTGACTTCTTCCTCCCACAGCTCATACCCCATGAAAGGCAAACAAATCCATTTCTTTGGGGATTAAAAAGAGTTTTTAAATACAATAGTATGAAAATATAACTTAAAAATATAAAAGTCAAACAGCATACGGAAGACTTAAAAATCTAGGTTTTGCCCATTAGTCCCATAGGTACTTTGTAGGAAATAAACACATACTCAAAAAACAGTTAACACTGTCATAGCTCATAAAACCGGCTTTAGAAATCAAGAGTTACAAAAGCCATTTTGAGTAAGAAAGCATTCCGGTTCCAACTTGGTCAGTGAGTGACTTTAGCCCCAAGCACGTCATGTGTCCTCGCTGCCTGCAGCCTTGGGGAGAGACCCACCCGCGGTCTGTGCGGGCCTGTTTTTTCCTGTACCTCACCACCTGGTCAGACACAGGACAGGGGCTTCGGGGTCCCTCACAACACTGTGCAAGACAACAACAAACAAACAAAGCTCTTTGCTTGCATATTTGGTCAGTGTTTGTAGTGCAACTGAGCGGGGACCTCCAGCTGCCCACGGCCCACTTGGGTGCTGGTTCCTGTTCCCTCTTTTTAAGTCACAGTAGTCTGGGGGTGGGCAGAGAGTGGGCAGAGACAGCGAGAGGAGTGGAGGTAGAAGAGGAGGGGCAGAGAGAGGAGGGAAGGGATGATGCTGCGGGGTGACCACCTGCTGACCCAGCAGCTGGCTGGCCCCAAACTTGTCACCCCCAGCATGGAATGTGTCATACAGGCAGCCCGAAGCGGTGCTTCTTTTTCTTCATAGGCTTGAGTGGGGTCAGTCTGCGGAGGTCCTCCTCCACGTCGGACTCCTCCATCTCATCATCGGCCGAGATCAGGATCTGGGCAGCGGAGAGGCACGGCTGAGACGTGGCAGCAGCCCTTCTGCGTTTGCCCTCCCTGGACCCCAGGCCCTGCCAGGAGGCCTCAAGTCTTGTGCTTCTGTGGAAGATGGTGACAGGGAGGCCCCCTTACACAATAAGACATGCTGGCCCACCGAAACCAGCACTGAGTCCACAGACCCCCCCCCCCCCCGGCCTCTATGCCAGTGCTCCTCATTTCCCCATCTAACTCCAGCTGCACCCAAACCAACCACACTTCAGCAGAGACCTGAAGCCCAGGGTCATGCTGGCAATAAGAAGCTTAGCCTTGACACACGGAGTCCTAGGGCCTTGACGTTGCCTTAAATACAGGAGAAGCAAACTGAAAAGCTGCAGGGGAACATGACTTCCTACTCCAGGGACAGGGTAGTCTCACCAATTCTCCCCTGGACTGAACCCTTGAGGGCTCTCTGCTTCCAATCTCGGTCCCCTGATTAAACCCTCACTGGCTCCCTACTGCTTATACAAGCATGTCCCAGGTCCTCAGCCTGCAGCACAAAGCACCTGCTCATCTAGCTCACATCTCGCCTGTACCTCACACTGCTTGACATTCCATTGTACACTCTGGAATAAATGCTGCTCTGGCCACAGTGAATTTCACATTATTATCCAGATGCCAAATGACTTGACTGAATGCCCGCCAGCTATTGCATCTGTGCTTCTGTGGAAGACAGTGACAGGGAGGCCCCCTTACACAATAAGACATGCTGGCCCACCATGCTGGCCCCTACCTCAGACTCCAACTCCTCGTGGGATGCCGCCCTTCGGTAGCAGACCTTGCTCCCATTCCTTGAGTTCTGGTGCCCATAATGCTGTTTGTCATTCAAATGTTTACCAAGCTCTTACAATGTGACAAGCTCTGTGCCAGATTCTAGGAATATGTACCCAGAGAAGGCACGGGCTTACTTTCTGTCCTACTCCCTATCCATCTTCCAGAACTCCCTGCCTACTGCCCCAGGGTCCTCACAGGGTTTTGTTTGTCTGGGCTTCAGAAGGCTTTGCAAATGCCAGGATGAGCCATTTGTGTGTTACTCTGTCTGGATCATTTCTGTGGCTCTCCTGGTGGCACGGTGCTTAGCACGCCATGCAAGTTTCCCAGGGCCTCTCCTGAGACAGCTTCACCTTAGATGTGTGGCGCACAGCCCCTGAGTGGCTGCCAGACATAAGTTATTGCCTCTCTGCTGCTGTTCATGACCACTGCTCTTCCCTGAAGCTCAAACCTTTGAACTTTGGAGACTAGGAAATAAGGGCAGATGGGGTTGCCTGAGAGGTCTGGCTACTCCTGTATTTTAGAAGTTTCCAGCTGGCTTGGCCAACGCCTTCCTTGCTTGTCAGTGGTGGGCAGGGATTCAATACCTTACTGCCTGAAGGTCAACCATGAGGCCCAGGAGGGTCCTTGCCAGCTTCCCTGGAACTAGGCAGTTCCTCCCTTGCCTTTCTCCACTGACAGGGAGACTGTTGGTGGTAAGCCACCCCCACCACATAGTCTACCCTCCTCCCTAGGAAGGCATGTGGGACAGCAGTCCTGGGGCCTGGCTAGATGGGAATGGTGTGTGACCTGGGCTGCTCTTCACTCAGCTTCTTCTCCCTCCCTCTGGTTGGTGCTGTGACTCAGTACCCAAGAGAAGACCAAATGCAAACATTAGACCAGAGACCTGCAGGCCAGTGGCATAATGACCAGGTACTCAGAGAGGGTCAGGGAGGCCCCTACCTCAGACTCCGACTCCTCGTGAGATGCCGCCCTTCGGTAGCGGACCTTACTCCCATTCCTTGAGTCCTGGTTGGCTCCTCTCTCTTCTAGTTTAGCTTTCGTCTTTCCTTTTCTCATGAGGAAATTGTCCACTACCCAAAACATCAATGCCTGTGGGAAGAGAAATGCAGGTTACTTTGGGAGAAGCCACTTTCAAGGAAAGCTTCCACCCTTTCTCAGCCCATTCCAGGTTACAAAATCCAAAGACAGGGAAAGAGAATCCAGCCCCCCTGCAATCTTCTAGACGCTTTGAGAGAGATTCCCAGACCTTATTTCCTTTTCTGCAGTTTTCTCATCAGAGAACAGGGAAGAAAATCCCTGTCCTGCTCACCAAGGGGTTTCTCTTGGGACTGGCAGCCTGTCTTGGGCCCAGAACCAAAGTCCCTGGATACCTGCTCTGGGCCTGTAGAGCCCCTGTGTGGTGACAGCATATTCTGTGTATCTGTGTGTCCAGGTCCTTTTATTGTTCCTCTCACTATTTCCTGGCTTTTAACCACTGTGCATGTGAGTTTCTGAGGACTGTCCTCAGGAATAAACAATTGAGGCACATTTGAAGTGATATATACATATATTTTTTAGTGGTGCTGGGGATCAAACCTAAGGCATCACACGTATTGGGCAAGTGTTCTACCACTGAGCCACATCCTGAGAACCCCTCACCCTTGAGACGGGCTCTCACTAGGTTGCTGAGATTACAATTATGTGCCACTGAGTCCAGCTTGAATGATCTTGACCTAGAAGCTGGTGTCACACATGGGGTGGGATGCCTCCATGGTAGATCCCTAGCAGAGAGGGCAAGGACAACTTTCCTAGGACCCTTCATCTTGGACAGGGGCCCTGGAGCAGAGACCTGCCTTTTGAAGAAGCAATCCTGCCATTTCCAGGTCTTGGGGAGGGGAGTGGGGATGTGACAACTGGTCACACAGAAAGAAAGATCTGAGGGCTCTGAGTTTTCCATCAGACTCAGGACTCTGAACAGGAACCCTGGAAGGCAGGGCACAAAGCAGTGTAAAACATGCAACATGGCACTGACATTGACAAAGAAGGGGACGATCAGCATGACGATGGCCAGTTTCAGGTCTGGGTTTTCAATGGGATTCAGTAGGGCCACCTGTAAAGAGAAACAGATGCAGTGAGGTGGGAGACCACAGGGACAGGGCCCAGGAACCCCTGTTAGGGGGCTTAGCTTAGGCATTCCCCCAGAGTGATAAGACAGCCCTCACTCCCTTGGCTGCAGAACCCCAGATCTGACTGTAAATAAGGGACCCTGTATTGAGCATTAGTGCTTTCACAGCTCTCCCCTTGTTGTGAACTTGCAAAGTGCAGTGTGCTTACAACCACTGAACCAGAGCCAAGCAGTGCCCAAACAGAGTGGAGAGGGCCCCAAGCCTCCAGCAGGGAATGCAGGCTCTTGAGAACTGGAGGGAGGAAATTGAAATTCAGCAGATGCTCATTAGAGACATGAGCAACCAGGTGTCAAACCTCCTTCTAGCAGAAATCTTGTACTCTAACCACCTCCCTCAAGACAACGGCTTTGAAATGCCCTGGCCTATTTCCTAAAAATAAGACCCAGCTACAGCCAAGAGCTGAGCCACTTGTTCTGGAAGACTCAGGTGGTTTTGCATAGGGATGAACTTATCTATACAGCACTGGGGGCAGCACTGGGGTCAGCTTATCTATGCAGCACCAAAGGCCAGAGCCAGGGGAACCCGTGGTCTCACCAGGGTATTGGCAGGATGGGAGACACAGGTCATGAAAGCTGTCTGTGGTGCCAAATGGCTAGCCAAGACAGATGTGTGAGGATGACATTTGGAAACGCAGAGACACTTAGAGTTGCAGGGTCTGAAGACTATATCCCCAGGCTTAATCTAGAGTAGACCCTATATCCATGGAGAGGACAGATGCCACATAAAAGAATGACAACTTAATAATCTTATGAAGAGTTGCCATATCAGACCAAATCTGGGATCTGCTCATGGAGTTAAAACAAAAATTTAGCTTTCTAACAGGGCTGCAGCATGTGGGTAGTGGGATGAAGTACTGAGCAAGGACTGCTGGAGTGGGGATGGGAGGCAAACCTTTTTCCACTGAAGTATAAGAAGGACGATGAAGACGACGGACTTTTCAAAGATCATGATCACGATGTAAAGGGCACACTGCCCAAACCAGGCCCCACATTGCAGAGGGTCTCCTGCAGGGACAGGTGGGTGCTCAGTCACACAGGCCCAGCATCCGAGTGAGATAACCCCCTAGCCAATTCCCCTACAGCTCTTCCTGAGCCCTCACATTCCCAGCCACACCCTAAACCTTAGTTCCAGAGATTTATAGTGAGCCCCCCACCAAGGTCCTAAAAAATCACCTTATTCCTAACAGATAAATGCAATATTTTAAGTAAAATCTGATAATTCCTAATTTGGACATACTAAATTGGTATTCCTTTCAAAAGATTCTAAGATAGGACTGAAAGGCCCTAAAGTTAGTGAGTGCTCACGGCTGGAGCTCAGACAGGCTGGCTCTCTGTCTGCTGGCAGCAGAAGCTATGTGAAGCAAGACTGCTATTACTGTCCATTGTTGATTTTTCCAGTGGCCAGTTCTATCCTTCCTTTTCCTCTGCCCACGAGCAGACTGACGTCATAAAGGCAGCAACTGACCTCTTTGTTTGTCCACTACTTTTTACCTCCTATGCCTTGTCCCACCCACTTCCTGGCCATCTCCACTGCCTCAGCAGAAATCTGACCTGGGAGGAATTCAGATTCCACTGTCTCAAATGGGTGACTTCCAAACACTCTGGCTAAGGACAAGAGAAGAGAGAAGCCTTCAAGGCCAAGGAAATGAGCTCAGGTTTGAGAGACTGTGATGAGGGCTGATCTTTGATCCCATTCGTCACCATGACTGAGAAACTAAAGGGCCCAACAGTTCACACTGAGGGACACTCAGGCCCTGAAATGCCCCTAGAATGCTTCAAAAGGGACTCGATGAAGGGTGGAGGACCTGACAGTCCTTCTAGGAAATGATCTTCTGATATGCATATCCCAGGGAAGGGCCCCTAGGAGTCTCCCCAAAGTGGAGACCTGGGGACAGTGGGGTGTGAGGA